GGAACCGTCTTTTCAAAACACCAAAGGTTCTCTCGATAGCATTGCGGAGTGAAACATGTCTGTAGTTAAACAACTCTTGTGGCCCCCTTCGGTTACGGCGGTGATCAGAAATATAGTAAGCCACTCACCTATGAGGGGCGAGGAACCCATCTCTATTTGGATAACCCGCATCAACCAAATAGTATTTCGCTGTAATAATATCAGATATTTTATTTGAATTACAAGGCCTCAACAGTGGAGGTAATACGCTATAATACGTCAAGAAAATACTTATACCTGGTGGAGGATATGGGAATCCAGAATTAGGATCATCAATAATTGAATTTAAAACTCTTGAATCATGCGCATATCCTTCCCATCTAGTAACGACATAAGTGAACATCATCTTAAAGTCGCATACAACCATTACATTCTGTGACATCGATCCTTTGCGATTCTGGTACCTATCGGCAAATTCACGTGGAACTGAAGCGTATACATGTGTGCCATCCATGGCTCCAATACAGTCCTATAATGAAAATTGAATTTTACTCATATTAACCTACTATAAAAATTAATAACACAATAAACTTAACTATCTACTAATAGTAAACATAATGAACCAGTACCTTAAAGAAAGGGTAATATTTTCGGTTGGCTGATATTTCCCATGGAACATCATTGAAGTCAGGTGGTCTGATAAACTCTGTCTTCAACTCACATATAGCGTTGCAAACTGCGGTAACATGTCTAGAGATCGTCTCACCCGAATGTTGGAAATCCTCCATCATCGTTCTGATTGTCTCGTTTTTTCCAACGATGGTTAGAAATATCATAACTTGTTCTTCCACACTCGTCGTCCTGGTTGGTTGCAATTTGCCGTGATCAGATAAAATTTCACATAACAATGTAAAACCGTCTTTGTCCATGCGGCACTTGTCATAGATCCTGTCAGGATGACCGTTAAGTACTTCCAACATGTATTGATGACCAGTTAATACGGATGTATGTCGTGGTTCACGCCTACTTGCTTCTAACGCGGCAACACCGCAGAGTGCAATGGCTATATCTGTTAGTATTTCTTCTTTGTCCCTCTCATCTGTAGCACGTCGTCTTCTTCCTGTATGGCTAGATGACGCCATTTAAACCTACACATTTGTAAAACGTTTATCAACAATTAACAATTGTTGTACTACTTAGCAAAATATAACAGTCACTATGTAATTGTAATGACACTCGAAAATGGTGTTTATACATGTAATATCACATACATAAGTTCATACAGTAGCATTATAAATTGTAATTGTAATGACAATTGCCCACTAACGCATACAAAATTGTTGCCAAACACTTATAAAATATAGTGTCATCTACTTATTATTGGGAAACTTGGTAAAAATCCAATTAGCCTTTTCCTCTATTGGGAGTTTTACGAATATCTCCCGCCACCCTGGATTTTCATATAAGTACGTGACAACCGACAGGTAAAACTGTGTCGGTACTTGCATGGCCGTCATGATGTCAATAAAATTGCTCATGGAAAAAGGATCACATGGAGCACTGGTGTTCTCTTATTCCCTCTCATCTACACTGCGATTGCTAGCCCTCGATCCCATAGTCCGCTTCTCCGCAAGCTCGTCCGTCAAGCTAAAAATGACATCCGCAAGTGCTTGTCCCTGGCCGCTTCTGTGCCTCCTATTTCTCGCAATTCCATGGCCAGATGTGTTTGGCCATTTTTCCCCTGTCGTCCGATCAGGATCAGGTTCAAAGTCGTTATCATCCATGGGAACCGTGCCCGGATTGGAATAACTGGAGGTCTCCACCGGTTGGGATGTAGATGTGTACGCATATCTTTCGGTGGCAGTTTGCTTCTCAAATATTATTTCATAAAGCTCCTTGTGAGGAAGTCCCTTGTGGTAAAATTGTTGCGCCAGTGGGTTTTGCTGGTAAGTTAAAATAATGATATATTAATATTTAGCAGTCCGAAAAAAATACGTACATTTACGATGTCGTTGAAGAATGTTAGTTAAAAAATATGAAAATTTACCTTGACATATTCTTGCCAAACCTCAACGGGACAAGTTCGACTTTGTGACTTGTGATCCCACTCGAACCCCGTGTGTTGTAGTAATTTCCGCCATGCTTGATAAGTTCTTCGCAGGCGAAAGAACTTAGAGGTTAATTATGTGACGTTAAGTCGCCTGCCAGCCACTGATGATATGTCGTCCAACATTGCCTGGTAATCTGCTGTTTTTATTACAGTACCGTGCGAAGTTTTGGCTCGCTCAGATAACAGGACTATAAATTTGTGGGTGATCTCAGCGAACCAGGCCACATAATCACTCATCTAAGGACAGTACGGTGAGGGACAACCAACATTGGGACACCATACGAATCACCAATCACATTATAAAATATAATACTCACATGTTAACGTAATCAACTAAACACATAAACTTATAAACTTATACCTCGTTCAATCCGACACAACTTGAAGACGTCAATGCAGGGGAAGATACCGACAATGTTGACCAACAGGGTGTATGACGAACTCCAAGTCTGGAAAAACGTCGAAACTTTTGCCTCTTCTGCAAGTAGTAATCAATCCTACGACGTCGAGACAAATTATACTGACATCTGTGCATATGAGCGTAATTTCTTGTTACCATTAAAGAACGATGTCGAATCTACAGAACAAATATATCAATTAGTGAAATCCGAATAAAATATTAAAAATCGTAAAACAAAACAAAAACTTATTAAAACAAATCATTCGTGTGCCAAACAAAACAAAAACCTCCCATTTAAAAGGATTAATGCGTGTCAAAATAAAACAAAAACATTTATCAACCATTTGCCAAACAAAACAAAAACGCATTTAAAATAAAACAAAAACATTTATCAACCATTTGCCAAACAAAACCAAAACGCATTTAAAAGGATTAATACGTGTCAAAAATAAAACAAAAACTCAATTCCAACAATGTGCCAACCAAATAAAAAACGCAAAACACCTTTCCAACAATTTGCCAAACAAAACAAGATCTGAGGTGGCTAAACGGTGAAGGGTGTGTGACAGATCTGGGTTCATGGTGGTTGGGTATTTGAGGTGGGTTCACGGTGGTTGGGGAGCTGAGGTGGGTTCACGGCAGGGGAGCTGAGGTGGGTTCACGGTGGGGAGCTAAGGTGGGTTCAAGTGAATAAAAAATGGATACTGAGAAGTTGTGAAGATGCAGTGAAGAAAATTGTGAAGCAGTGAAGAAAAGTGAAAGCTGTAACGGTCAAAAATGGATACTGAAAAAGTTGTGAAGATGCAGTGAAGAAAATGGTGAAGCATGTGAAGATGCAGTGAAGAAAATGGTGAAGCAGTGAAGAAAAGTGAAAGCTGTAACGGTAAAAAATGGATATGAGAAAGCTGTGAAGAAATGTGAAAAGCTGTAAAGTTCAAAAATGTGTCAGGATTGTATTTTGGGGATAGAATTATGTAAAAAATGAACCAAACACTATCCTAATAATCCGGTCCAGAATATGGAAAATAATAATGAACCAAACACAATGTTAATTTAACTGTTATTTGTCATTAACTTTAATGAAAAATAATAGAATAATTTAGATGCCTTCAATTTTTTTTAAGTGAATTTAATTCTTAAAATCTAAATTTAAAAATCTTGAAAAACCAGAAAAAGACCAAAACCAATTTTTTTCAAAGGAAATTAGAAAACAAAAAACAAAAAATTAAGAAACTTAAAACTAAAAGAATATTTAATAAAAAAAAATTATTGTTTATTTTGTGAAAAGGAATAATTCAAATATTTTATTTAGTTATTTAAATTTTATTTTGTAATGTTCGATTACGTCTTTACCCTTATATAAAGTTAAATTAGGCATGACAATGTTCCTTGGAGGTTTTTTCAAGGATAGGGGCGAGGGTGGGGGGCGTTTTAATCCTTGTTCCCGGGGATGGGGCAAGAGTGGGTGATGCCTTTCCCTCGCCCCATCATGTATATAAAATATAAAATTAAAAAATATATATAATTTTCACTAATACCCCTATATTTCACCTAATTACACAATTATCTTATTTATATAAACCCATATTTTCCCAGTTTCTCTCACCCTAAATAATTGAACAAGAACAAACTCTAACCGATATTTATGTAAAATTAACTATGTTTAGAAGATTAATTTAAGTATTTGTCATGTGGACGAGAATTAACAATATTTAAGCAATTAATTTAAGTATTTGTCATGTGGACGAGGATTAACTATTTTGTTTAGCAATGCTTAAATTAATTTATGTTTATGTAAAATTAACGAGGTGGGGACGAGCCTCCAACATTCCCCTATGGGGCGAGAAAAGAGAATTCCTGTCATCCTTGTAACGGGGATGAGGCGAGGGTGGGAAGTGATTTTGAAGGTAGGGATGGATACAATGAATAAGATCCTATCCTCGCCTCGCCTCATTGCCATGCCTAAGTTAAATCTAACCTTAAATAACTATTTATTGTTCTTTATTAAACAATTTATAACTTCTGTCCTCCCAATATAAAGTTTAAATTTTTTTTACCCTAATTGATAGTGTCCCAAGATTTTTTTGGAAGTTTCTAATCCATCAAGTAAAGAACTGATATTTGATTAACTATTGAATTTCTTTATTATATTTTTAATCACTTAATATATGATTTAGTAATTCCGAAATATTTCAATCACTATTCAAAATATTTAACTCAATTATTAACATTAACCAAAATTTTATTTATTTATAACATATGATCTAATCATTGTTATTATTTGATAATACGTATATATATTTTTAAATTGTTAAAAGACGGGTCTTTGTTTGTCATATTTGTGATCAACGTAACAAAGCCCAACGGCTACGGCCCATCATTTAAACTACAAATACGAGGGAAAACCCCACCGCCTTATACATAATTTTGAACTCTCCAGTTCTTGATTTCCCTCTCTTTCTAGGTTTTCAAATGAAGCACGGTCTGTTGTAATTTCCGCTAGACAAAACAATGTCCAAGGAAAATTTTCTCTCAGCGCCTCATCTATCGGCTAAAGAAATCACGGCGGATCAAATGTCTCGGATTTCTCAGAATTTCAGAACAGCAAAACCGTTTCTTGATCGTAAACGGCCGCGCGACGCAGTCCATTCTTGTCATCACTTACCTAATAAGTCGGTGATTTCTTTCTTCATTATTATTATTTGGCTTTTAGGAAAATTGAATTCAGTTCTAAATTATATGTTTTAAAAGTTTGGAGTTAAATCAATTAAAAACCTAATAAAAAGTGTGTGGTTTCTCTCTTTCGTTATTCTTATTTGGTGTTTAGGAAAATTTAATTCAGTTCTAAATTACATGTTTTAATGGTTGGTATTAAATTGATTAAAACTTTAATAACGAGTGATTTTTTTTTTTTTTTTTGGTTCTCTAATTTGTGGTGAAGACGATTGAAGCAGTTATAAGTTACGTGTTTCGATGTTAGGTTATAAATTGATTTAAAACCTGATATTCCAACTTTTCATTTTTTCTTGCTAGCTAATCATTCATCAGTACCAAAAAATCATTTGCTCCTTTCATTTCCTGTAATTGATAAAATAATTTAAAGTTTGAATATTAGGTTTTGGGGTCAAAACAACTCAACAGCTGCCTTTCAGTTTTGTATATATTTTTAACCTCAAAAGGTTAGTAAAGCTCTGCCACTCTGTCTATAATTTTATTCCTCACCACAATGGTGAATTACACGAGTTTCTTCCTCAGCGATTCAAGTTGGCTGTATGGATTTGAGAGATTTGTGGATTTTCAAAATAAGAGAATTTGTATATCCTCTCGTTTTGTCACATATTGCTCAGTCAACGGGCAAAAGATTTATCGTTTAATTATTTCTTGTTTTTCTCCTGTATAGTTGTCTGGGAAGTGGTAAGAGATTATGATTAATTGTTAGTAATCCTATTTGTTTCTAATTTCAGAAGTAGGGATGTAACTGGACTTGAATCTCCTGGTTCTGTTACTAGCGTCAGAAGAGTTCCTCTTATGGAGAAACCTATGAACACACCAACTCCATATTCGCTCAACAGTTTGGATTTAAACAATGTTGCATTTAGTGGCACTTCAAGCGTAGTAAATGATGCACCAAATGCAAGGACGAGTGGTGTTGTTGCTATTGATTTATCAAATCCTTTTATAACTCCAGTAAAAAAATTGGAAGCTTCTAATTCGAATGAGTCAGTCTTGATGACTAACGTTCTAGATGATGACTTTGATGAATCAATTTTGCAAGAAATTGATGCTATATGTGAGCAATCTGCAGCAAAATTGGATAGGAAGGGTCCAAACGGTAGCTGTGAAGTAGAAAATCAGAATCATGATAACAGTAGCAGTAATATTACCTTGGGTTCTGAGTCTGTCACTGCCAATGAGAATATAAGAGTGGATAGTGCACTAGACTTGGATTCAGAGGGCAAGGACAAGTCTCAGGCTATAGATACTGGGAACATGCCAGATGAATATTCCAATTACTTGCAATCTTTAAATGATAGGCAACATGAAGCAGCTTGTAGTGATATTTCAACCCCTTTACTGATTGTTGCTGGTCCAGGAAGTGGAAAGGTCTCTCTGTCACATAAATGCTTTTCTTGAATTTTTGTCATCAAGCTTAATTTTTTGATTTTTCTCTATCAATGTTAAATCTGAATTTTTCTGCTTTTGATGTTAGACTTCCACAATGGTTGGGCGTGTTCTATTTCTGCTTAATGAGGTATTGCTTTTTTCTAGCTCTGAATGATCCTTCATTGTTTATTTGATGTTTCTATTGTTAACTGAATAAATGTAGTGACCTCCGTGTCCCTCTTTTATGTTCTTGCTGACTATGGCAAGGATATCACACATATTTTCAAATACTGAAAGCACATTGATCCATCCTTTCAGTCTTAGTTTGCATATGCTTGGAAATTCTGTTTTGCTTGCTTTATTTTTGTTTCTGATTCTCTAAAGATTTGGTCAGGGCATAAGTCCATCAAACATTCTGGCTATGACTTTTACAACTGCAGCAGCTTCTGAGATGAGAGATCGCATTGGATCAGTGGCTGGGAAGACAATGGCCAAAGAACTTACAATCAGCACATTCCATTCATTTTCTTTGCAACTATGTCGTTCACATGCGGAAAAGTATGCACATTTGAAGATCATTTAATTTTTGTCCAAATAGTAAGATGCTACTTGTTTGCTTTTGGGACCTTTTTCTCTCAAATTTCTTGAAGACTCTAAATTTATATGCACTGAGACAATATTCTATAAGACCTATTTACATTTTTGAATAAACTGCCTTGAACTATATGCCAATTACTAATTTTTTTCAAGCACTTTGTTAAACACTAAACTTTTTGCATATTAAAGATATTAATCATTAGTAATTCTTGAATGTAGGATACAAAATACCATGAATTTACTAAATTTGTCTGTAGTAACGTGAAAATAATCGGGCTATTATGTAGTGGCATGTCAGTTAAAACAGTTCTATTAGACCCTTTCTCTTTTTCGTCACTGCTTCTTTATGTAGTGCTTCTCAGCATAGTGCTATCTTAACTATTCAACGACATTTTCCCCTTTTTCTTTTTACTTGTCATTATCTTGTTTTGTTACTTATATAACTCTTGTTTTCTATTCATGATAAAGGTTAGGACGCACATCAGATTTTTTAATATATGGACATGGGCAGCAGAGGAGAGCAATTATTGAGGCAATAAGGTTATTGGAAAATGAAAAGAATGGACAAAATCATGTTGTCTGCAAACCTTTTGAAGATTCTAATGACATGAGGTTCCCACAACATTTTAAGGATAAGTCAAAGAAATGGCAGAAGTTTGTAACTCAGGTTAGTGATGTACTAACATATGTGGTTTTGTGTTGCTGTATGCAGCAAAAACAATAACCCAACTATACTTTTTGCATCAAGCAATAATTTTTGGAAAACCGGAACACATGTTTGGAGAAGAGGAACACTTAGATGAAGCTATGCCCTTTCATAGAGATCACTAGGTAAAATGTTCTTTCCTGGGTCCTTATGTCAAGTTGATAAAGTCCAATCATCAAGAGGAGCAATACTGATATGCAGACAATAGATAGCCATCTTGGTTACATGCTCGAAAGTTTTGTCATGATCCTTCCATGCTAGAAAATGATTCAAAAGAGGCACTATCCGAGGAAGAATAAGGTTCATAGGATGATTATACTTTAAACCTTGGTATATTCAAATAATTCAACTTTGTATGTCATATAAGTGGCATTAAATTACTTACTGGAACGTTAGGAGATGGATGAATTTGATTCGTTATAGAAAAGATTGTTGCCCAATAGTTGTGGTAGTCGATTTATGTGCTGATTCATGTATCTTGAATGATGATGATGTTTATAGGATCTGTTTGGGAAACTAATCTTGGGATTGGCTGGGAGACCAAATTCTAAGCAGAGTATATAAGACCATATGTGTGTTCAAATATGAGGAAAAACATATAGAGACACATGGATGGGTGGTATTGGGATGTGACAGAGACTGGAATAATGTTTTTGCAGTTTCCAAATCTTGATTTTTGAAGTGTGTTTGGTTATGAATTTCAGTTAATTATAATTGTATTTTTAAGGAAGCTAGCCTTGATGATATTGATACTTGTGCCAGTGTTTACTAATTATTTGAAATACCATAATAGAATGGAAATGACACTTTTTCACACACACAGACAAGGATCTTGTTAGTTGAATGAATGCTATATGTGGAATTGTCCTTCTATTGATTGAATGTGCTGATTTCAGGCTAAAGCTTCTGGAAAGACTTCTGCAGAATGCCGTAAAATGGGTGATGAGACAGGAGTAAGCCTGCTGTTTCTGATATCTTTTTTGTTAATCTGTTTTAATCCATGAAATTCTGAGCTGAGGATCTGAAACAGGCTGCAATTGTCGAAAACTACAATCAAATATTAACATCGTGTAATGCTTTGGACTACCACGACTTGATCAGCTGTTCTGTGAAGCTGATGACTGAGTTTCCTGAAGGTTCCTGTCATCTATATATTTTCAATCTAGTTTTGCAACTTTATATGTTTCTCCATGTTGACAATTGTATGCTCTCTCCAATTTAAAGTATTCAAAGAGTGCCAGGATTCGTGTAAAGCTATCATAATAGATGAGTTCCAGGACACAAGTGCCATGCAATACAGTCTTCTGAAAATTCTTGCATCTCATAATTGCATCACTATTGTTGGTGATGATGACCAGGTACATTTATACAAGTATCTGTGATTTATCAGAGAAGTTGAAGTATTTTGTTGCTTTCTAAGTTATTCTTGAGTCTAATGCCATATACTTTATTGCAGTCCATTTTCAGTTTCAATGGAGCTGATGTTTCTGGATTTGATTCATTTCGCAAAGATTTTCCAAATCACAAAGAGGTGTGGTTTCTCTTATTTTTCTGATATGTAGCACATTCAGAAATTTGAATGATTCTTGCTGATTGAAGTTTTACTATATATGTCACCTACTTCTTTGTTGGTGTAGATTCTTATGTTTGATGTATGCATTATGATTCAGATTAGACTTACTAGAAACTATCGTTCCACTGGCTGTATTGTTGAGGCTGCATCTGCACTTATAAAACATAATATGAAGCGATGTCAGTTAAAGAATGTTCTCACTGAAAATTCTCATGGGTCTAAGGTATGTAACATTACCATGTCGCTTAATATATGTATATGATTTAGTTGGTAATTTTCTTTTTGCTTTGTTGGGTCAAAATATTCAGATAAGTATTAAAGAATGTCACAATGAGGATGCCCAGTGTTCTTTCATTGTCGACAAAATCTTGGAAAGTGCTTCTAATTGTGCAGCTGATAAATGCTCCTATGGAAATATTGCAATTCTCTATCGACGGCAGGTTAAGCTTACTTTCCATGGCATTGATATGCATAAAATGCTCATCAGATTTCTTCTAAAAGATCATGACATCATCTTGTATTACAGGTGTCAGGGAAAGTATTCCAAACAGCCTTCCGAGAGAGGAAAATACCATTTAACATTCACGGTGTGGCCTTCTACAGAAAAAAGGTCAAGAAATGTACTTTCAAGTGCTCTTCCTTGCATCCAGATCAATGGATTGTTTGAATTACATTTATATGTTTTCATTCCAACTTTGAATTACAATTATATGTTTTCATTCCAACTTTATTGCCATTATAGATCAATTATTTTACTTGGAAAAGAAGTAATGGTTGCAATACAGGTGCCTTTTACCTTGATTTTCATCGTCGTTGTCTAGCCGTCATTGGTATTGCCTGCTCTTGGCAATCCGGCGTAAATTTTTAGGTTATTTAAATTTTAGTTTGGTTCTTTACTGTTCTCTCTCTCTCTCTCTCTCTTTTTCAAGGTTTGATGCTAGTTTCCTTTTTTGTTTTTTTCAAGATGAATGTGGACTAAACACTAGTCTCATAACAGGTAGTAAGAGCCATCATCGCCATGCTTAAAACAACATTGCCTGGTTGTGATGACGGTGCATATAGTCGAGTGTTCAAGGCTTTACTTCCTTTCGAGAAAGAGGAAAAAATGAGGGTGCGTGTTTAATAATTTTCTTTACATGAGTTGTCTTTTTTATTGAGAGATAATTATGTATTCTAACCCTCTTATATCCATGATATCCTCTGGTTGTTCTTCTTGTAGGTAATTGATCACATTGACAAAATTTCGACTATAAGAAAATGCAGATTTGTATCAGCAGCCTGTGACATTTTTAATGCAAAGATTTCTGGTACCTTTAAGAGGTTTCATTATCGATTTTCCCTTGTCATTCAGCTATGTGATAAATGGTTTTTATTACTGTATAACAAAATATGGGCAGACTGCCGGGAGTGAAGAAAGACCATAATAATCTCATTTTCTGTCATTTGGTGTTTTTTACTCCGCCAATGACCTACTACTCAGATGGTATAAACTGGCATTGATAAACAGTTGTTGGTCTATTGATATTGCAATTGAAGAATACTTAGGTTACTAGTGATGCTCTTGATTATTATTGTGCCAGACATGTATGAATTGGTTTTTGTCTCCTAATAGCACTCTAGGGGTCGCTGTGCAATGTTATGGTGTTGATTGAGCTAGATATCTTTCCTAACACATATATATTGTTTTTTTTTTTTTTACTTTTGCTTGTGTTATTTAACTGATGTTGGTGTAGAAAATTACTTATGTTTGATCCCTGTAATTGACCGCAGGTGTCAACTTACCCAAGGACGTAAGGTGTTGTCAACGATAGATATGATATCAAAACTTGTTCATAGAGTATGTTGGTTATGTTGCGGCTTACTGATCTCGTCTTTCTTTTCAGTGAAGCATTTGTTTCTTTTTTACTTTATCCGTTATTAAAAGGCATCTGTGGTGAGGAAAACTGAAATTGAACTGCATTTTTTGGTGCTTCATTTTCTAATTCTGGTTTAATTATCCTAATTGAGCTACCTTGTTTTCATGCTACTAGGACTTGTTTCTGCTATGTTCAAGTATTTCTTTACTGACTATTAGGTCCTTGCAGTTGTTTCAGTTTCAGAATTACATATCTATTAAGCACCAAACTTCTCCAAGAATTTTATCTCACTCATCCCTGCTTACAGGAACAATCAATTTCAGCTGTCATAACTTCTGTGGCTAACATGGTGCCTCAGGTTTGAGCTCTTTCGCTAAAGTTTGGAGTAGAAAAAAAATTCAATTTAATCACTATTTTATGATTACAGCTGGATGAAGCTTATGCTGTGCATCTAAATGATGCTAATCCAATTTATCACAAAACTAATTTAATAGAAATGCAGCAACGCTTCCTTTTTTGCAATCAAGTCTTGTGGGATAATCTACATGTTATCTCAATTATGTTAACTCGATCACACTTTTCTCTAATCAATATTACTTGTGAGCGTTGGTGTTTTTGAAACATAAAATCCTTATAGCCATCTTTTATATTATTGCAAGTGTTCTAACTCTTTCAGTTCTCTATACTTATACTGATTTATTTTAACTTTTTAGAAATACCTTCTTGAGCAACGTGCAGTTGTTAATTCTGATGGAGGGAAATTGCTCAATGAAGACAATGACCTCAGATCTGTAAGTAGGCTATAATTACATGAAAAATTAGTACCTATTTATCTTCCATAAGTAAATAGAATGGAACATTTTCTCATCACCTGGAAATGTTTATACCTTATTCATCTATCTCTACCAGTAGTCAATGTCAGATATTGTGAGAGAGCACTGATTGTACTAAAGTGTTGGAATATAGTGCTTTCACTGGATGGCAACTGAATATGGTAGAACTTTAGTTGTTGTTGTTGCATTTCTCTGTCCACAGAGTTTGATTTACATTCTGATTTTTAAAGAAGTCCATGGCATTTATGTTGCTCCAATATGGGATATTTCTTTCCTATTTGTTGGCAATGCATCATTCCTAGAATTATATTAGCATGGATCATCAAAAGTTTGACAGTTAGCTCGAAGAATTGTCAAATATTTTTCTGTTAATAATGTTGTGTCTGTTAGAGTTTATATATTGTTATTGGGTTACCTGTTAACTTAAGTTGTTGGATAAAATTCTTAACACTGTATCTAAATTAAATTGACCAAATGGTCTCACATGCAAGTGCACGGTGGTGTGTTAAAGTTTAAATACTATTGTTGGATCCTTACTTTTTTCAGTCTTCAGCAATCAGCTTAGCTTTGAGATTAGGTGGTTGTAACAGTTTCAAGGGACAAATTGTTGTTAGAAAGAGACTCTTTGACTAACGATATATGTGCCATCAAAATTGACCAATAAATGCTTTTTCATAAAACCAAATGTAATGGAGTACTTTAAATCCTGCGGTTTGGTGAATGCATTTTGTAAAAAATGTTCTAAGTTCGATTTGTGCTCAAATTTGGCTATACCACATTGCAGGTCCTTCAGTACCTACTCGATGATGTTTCTGATTTTTTATCTAAAGAATTTACTGCAACAGAAGAAGAGAGAACTGTGGATAAAGATAAAAATGGTTGTGGGAACATTTTGAAAGCTTTTATTGACTACATTTCTGAGAGGGAGAGAGAAAACTTCCGTACCCGGAGACATAATAATGAAAATTCTGTCACCTTGACTACCATTCATCAGGTTTTTTTCCTTTCAAATGTCCTTTCTTTTGTTTTCCAATGGTACCATTGAAATATTCTGCTTAACTTTCTTTTTATCTTCCTCTGCTTCCCTGTGCAGTCAAAAGGCTTAGAATGGGACATTGTCTTCATAGTGAAGGTACTTGGCTATGCATATTTATTAGTTCTGCTGCACCTAATCTCTGAAAGAGCTGGCTATAGTTTTTCTTCCCATTGTAACATTATATTATTTTTAAATTTATTAGGTATGAGCCCAACTGGTAAATGATTTCATTCAAACCAAGCTTAATTTGAATTTTATTAAATTCTCGAGGGAGACTTCATTTGACTATAGTCAACAACTTAATTGGCTGAACAAAATGCTTTTGGCTTCGGGCATGTGACTTGATGGAAATATAGCAAGAACAAGAAGTTTGTTACTAAAATATTCCACTTTACCTGAAGAAGGATTTTTTTTCCTTTTATCACTCTAAACTAATGTGATTAGTATTGCAGATTCCTTATACTTGAGATTGTTTTCTTATTGGTTGTCCTCCTGCCTTGCATTAATGCTTGGAACGTAGTTTTTATTGATTTGCTGGTTGTTTATATCTGATTATTTTATTTTTGGTGGACTGCCTTTTCACTTTCAATACGAATTTTATTAGTTAATATCTGTTTCTTTGTCCCTAAAAAACATGTTGTAGGCAAATGAAAATGAGATTCCTTTGTTGCATGAATTTAATGGTGCTGCGAATGAAAAAGGGGGCTCACTAGAGGTCTGCTTTATGAGTGGAAAATTGTTCTTCTTTTACTTTATGTAATATAAATTGTTTGAGTGAGGAACTAAACTACTTGCTCTCATGCGGAAAAAAAAATAGGAGGAGCGACGTCTGTTATATGTAGCAATGACTCGTGCGCGGAACAAACTTTTCATTCTATATGTAATGATGGATTCAAACTGGCAGGTATGAACTATCTACAATTTTTCCGGTGCACTGGTTATTCCTGTTTTCCCCGTGTAACAGTGTGATTTCGTTCAGTTGCTTCAACCATCCAGATTTCTCAATGAAATTCCATGTCATCTTCTAGAGGTTCAGGTGTGTTCTGAAATATTTTGGGTGATCATTGTACAAGTTTTGTATAGTAGATACGGAGCAATTTTATTTTTCCGAGTTCGGATTTTACAACTATCATTCTTGAATCAAGAATGGTTTTAACTTTTGTCTTCGACTCAAAATTTGAATAAGCTCCTATCTTCTTTTAGATATAGTATCAATATTATGAACAAGGTTTAAAAGTATTTATTTGAACTGCTGAAAGTAATTAAAGTGATAATTTATAGTTTGTCAATACAATGACTGGCATGGAATTGTTTGTCAAGTTGTAGCTGAACTGTGACAGAACACTAGGTTTGCTTGTAATTATAATTTTCAATCGTGAGAGTTCATACTTTATGATGAGAGCAACCTATAGACCTTAGGATTTAATGTAATTTTTATAGGATTTATTTTATTTTCTTTTTGGTTTCTTTCTAATCTGTATCACTTTATCTCTCTTAATTTCATCCTTTCTAATCTCTATCAACTTATCTGATTTTTCTTACCAAGCCGTGGTGATTCTTTGAAGGAATTCCTTCTAGATTTGTGAAATATGGTAATATAAATATAAGCTAATTTGTTATCAGTTTACTCGACCATAATTTTATTATTTTCTGCTACTTTTGGGCAGGAAACTATTAGATGCCAGGAATCAAATCCATTTACACTAAGACATATACGGAATCATCCGTGTTTTATACAACACTCATACTTGGGATCTTGTCCGTGAAATGTTACATGGAATTCTTGTTAAAACTGAAATTTATTTTATCTTCTGCGTTTCTTTCTATTCTTTTCCATCTCATAAAGTTTGGCTTTTGTTTCCCTGATGGTTACTGATTTTAATGAATATTATTCTTAAATAGGCTGAACTAGGTATAAAAAATCAGTTTACAAGGCCTGGAGAAAATCCAAAAGAAACTGCTCCGTTTACTGTTGATCTACAAAGAGAAGAGCAGCCTTCTGAAACAGATATGGTTTCAAATGACTTTCTCAATTTTCAATTTAGTGGAGCTACAGAGTCGTTGGACGCATTCGAGGCATATGATGGAAATAGTTTTTTAAGAAGGTTTACCTTTAAATTGTGATGGGCAGAAAAAAGCTATTATCAAGTTTAGTAATTCTTTATTGAGATGTAACTTTACTCAAGGCTATTGTCACTTGTTACAGATTCAGTGTGGAGGAGAGATCAATTGTTTCCCACTTATTCCATAAGTGGGCCAAGAAGCAAGCATTTCAGGACCCTAAAAGATTAGTTAATAAGGTATCCTTTGTTAACTCAAGCCTTTCTTCTTTTTGCCTGATCTGGATAGGGTATTAAAGATCACCAAATTTAAAATTTTGATATTTAGATGTGTGCCAAGAGGCACATATGCAATATATGGTTTATACTTTATGGTGAATGGGTTTTTCTCATGTGCCAATTGATAACGTAAGCATAAACATGACTGCTTGTGCTTAATTTCTGTCTTAACTCTTAATTAATAATATGTAACCTTTATACCAAGTACGTAGTAAAATTTTGATCTCTAGTCAAGCTGACCATCGTTTCATGTTTTGCCTTCTGTATTTGCAGGTTCAATTTGTGGTTGATGAACGCCTAAGTGTCAAGAAAAACAAACATAAGGTGATACAACTTGGTCCAATTTTATTTTAAAACACCTTTTTAAATCGATGTCCTCTTTTGCAACACTGAACGCAAACTGCTCTTGGAAAATAATTTCATGCTTTTTTATTGTAAAGCAGTAAAGATTATCTTTTTTTCTTGGCAAATGTTACTGTTACACTGAAGAACTCAACCTGCGACCCCATCCTCCTTATTTTATTGAGGAAGAGATGCCATCAAATGAATATGCTATTCGCCCAATATTTAAGGTTGCTCAAGTATAAAACCAGTGTTGCATAAATTTTAGAAGGTTCTTATTGAAACATACCTGTTGGAAACTTTATTTTCTAGTGACAAATATCTGATAATAGCATGAGAAAGCAAAAGACTGCTACACTCACTTGAATTATTTAGTTGTTGTTAGACAAAAATAATTGCTCTCTATTTAGTACTTAACTAGTTAGCGATTAGCAAAGAGTATTTAAAAATGCCTTTGAATATCCACTACCATTTTGTCTGTATTTGATAAACTAAATGAGGTGAAAAACATTATAATCCTATCCAAGTTTCTGTTGGAGCAAACTTTTATGACCTTTTTTCCTTGGGCAGTAAATTATGTATTTCCATTAAATGAATTTTCATGGAGGTGGAGCAGAACGTTTATTGGATTTTGGTATATTTTTTTACATTCATGTAGAATTAATTGAGGAAATAAGCTGTCGTAGATTCACATATGATACGTAATCATTCATGAATCTGTCTGAATTTTATTGAAACCTTCATTGATTTTTATGTCTGTAACAAACCTGTGAAATATTATACAACATTCAGTGATTGATCTTTTTCATGACTCTAGGATGTTCTGCGTGCTCTGAAGTTGTGTTTGAGCTGCGAAGAAGCGTTTCACTATGCAGAATATGTAAGCACATTTGGTAGTTCTTTAAATTAATTTTAGTTTCTATCTGAAACTATTAACATACGTTCAGAGCGCAGCGTATAAGAGGAAACAAAAAAAATAGTGAAGAAAAATGCTTTGATCGTAAAGTTTTTTTTAATATGGAATTACTTTTTTACAGGTTTTGAGATGGGAGCAAATTCCTTCTGATAAACGTGCTCATATGATGCGAGAGAAGCAGGTTTGGTCCAGACTAAATACTTGGCTGAGAATGTTGAAACCTTTTTTTTTTTCATTGTCCTTCTTTAAGGTTTATCTTCTGTTTGGTTTCTAAATATAGAACCTGGTATATTGTATTCGTAAACTTGTTAAATTACGGAATTACTGCTCAGTGCTAGACTAAGGATTTTCCCGGGCCCAAGTTTGGTTATTCCAAATCCAGAGAACTAAAGATCGCAATTTCTTCGGGCTACAATTTTGGGAAAATATATCCCATCCCAGTATAGAGTTTGCATATTAAGAGAATTGAAGAAGAGCAGTTTCTTCTGGTTATGTTTTCGGGATAGTATGTCGAGTGACGGTCCATTTAGGCTTTGAAGAACCTGGATATAACTTCGAGAGTTTGTCAACTATCTAAACCACTAATTTATTTCATAATATCGTGGTCGTCCCTTAATGTGTTGTATGTCTCTTACCACGAGTTAAACTTAAAAACCTGCATACATAAATATGGCTTCCATTTTATAAGTTTTAGGGTTTAGTTTATAGGTGTAAAGTAGGTTTTACCTATACAGATTTTACAAAACCCATACATATCTGTACATCAATGTATCCATGAATTTGTTATTATTTGATGAAGATAACAAGTCGAAGATTAATGCTTTCATACCTTTGATTTTAAAGGCAATACTTTTGGGATCCAAGTACTAATTTAATTATATTTCACTGTTTCTTTCCTCCAGGAGCATTTCCAGAAACTAAGGGTTGAGAATTCTATGAGTTCATCGGTACCAACTCCGAAACAGGTAAGCGACCAATACATATCAGTAAGGTCCAAATTTGACGATCTGGATTAATTTCATTTTAAAAATTTATTGGGAATACAAAATAACATTTTCTCCTTATAGTTAAACAGAAAGGTAAGACATTAACCATTGAATCATTAGAATGTATGTTAGAAATCTTTTATCGGGAACTTCATACGCTTGACCATCTTGTTCCCCATGTTTCATTTGTAAAATTGTAGTACAACTAAAATAAACTGTTCTCATTGGATGGTAGATGGCTTTTCTGCGATCTTTAGGATGCACCGAGACCCCTACATCACGTCTCCATGCTTCTCGTTTGATAGAACACTACAAATCACTGTGATTAGAGAGGATTATCACCATGTCGCCCAGCAACATGCCAATATTCCGTTGTATGTACTCTGCATAAAGTCGCTCATCAGCGACTAATTTTCTTAATTAATTTCATAATTCATATTGCTATAAATTCTTTCCTGCATTAATTTCACATTATGCTTTGTATATCTGCAGTATCAATTGAATAACCTTAAGATTTTTTTTAAAAGTTAATTGATTATGACATTAATCTAAGATCTGATATATGAATTATAAAAATACAAAATACACAAAAATGACAATTATGAACTAATATTACGTTTTTTAAGACCGGTATTAGGTCTTTTCTTCTTTTAATTGACAGTGAAATGGTCATTTTATTTTCTACAATTTAGAAGAAATCCACGCATAAAGTGTATCAGTAATATTTTTGCGAGAATTATCTTCGGGAAGTGTAACAGAATTCTAATGCAGCTGACATAAATTGCAATTCCAATTCTGTGCTTGCATTTTGGAATTTCCAGTGAACAATAATGGTTTTCATTAAACTCAAAATAGGATACCATCCAATGCAAAGTCAAAAAAGATGTCAAAAGAAATTAGGAACCATTTAGTCCACCCTAGACAAACCCTTAGAGGACGTTTAGTTCAAGAATATTAGATTATTGGAAGTATTGAATTATTGGAAAGATAGATTACCTTATAAGATTACTAAGAATCTTTAGAAAAATGTGTTTGATTAGTTAGTGGGTATGTTATATTAATATGTTTGGTTATGGAGAATAAATTGGTGAGTATATTATTTAAATTACTAAATTGTTCCCCTTTCAAATATTAATATAATATTATTTTTATTATTAATTTTTGAATAATTTCTTTAACCCCCAATATTTTAGATTTAGTTAAAACACCCTCGCTTATATAAAACTTTAATTTATTACGAAATCACCCCTACCTCCTGCCGTCACCGAAACCATCGCCGGAAGTCTTCGAAAGGCCTTGTCAGTAGCTCGTCGTGACCAAAATGGCTTCGATAGATCCATCAATCTGGCCGAAAATGGCCAGAATCTGGCCAGATCTCGACCATTTTCCGACCATATCAAAGCCTCTCAGAGCCTCCCATTGAATCTCGTTCTTTTTTAGGGACTTCGACGAATTTTTGGTGGCAATCCGTGGTGGTTGGCCCGCTGTCGACGGTGGTGGCTAGGTTGCAGTGGTGGTCTATAAATTGTTTTAAATATAAGGACATTATTGTCCAAAATTTTAATTAAATAAGGGTAAAATTGAAATGAGATATTAATGTAAATTTATTTTAAAATTAGGACATTATTGTCTAAAAAATTTATTAATAAAGGATAAAATTGTAACAAAAAAAGATAACCTTAATAATCTTAGAATACCTAAGAAAATGGAAATAATCAGATTACCTTCAATATTACCAATAATAACTACTATTGGTATTTGAAGATTATCGAAATTTTATATTACTTGACAACCAAACGTGATAATCAAATAATATAAGATGATATAACCCCCATTATCTCACATTACCGCAAACCAAATGCCTCGTTAAAGTAAGTTCTGTTAATCAGAGGAGAGCGCGGAAATTTCATGGTTTTCTATTCATCGGATGTGACTGCAGATGTTCCATAGTTTTAAATTTTTAATAAGAGGAATAATTTTTTTAATATCGATTTAAGCTGCCTAATTTTGGCACTTAAATGTCCATCATGATGTTTGTAACTTTGTATACACAAAGTTGGTTATCTTGTCACGAAAACATCTTTGGCACATAGTAAATTTTGGAAAATGTTAGAAGTACAAAGACTTACAAAAAGTCTTTGTACAAAGTGATGTGGTAACTGTCACACCACTAGTTTTACATAAATCTTCTCTTTTTTTTCACAAACTAGTGGTATGATAGTTGCCACATCACTTTGTACAAAGACTCTTTGTAAGAGTCTTTGTACATCTAACATTTCTCATAAATTTTACACCTAATAGCATGAGAGAGAGAGACATGATGCACCTCTAAATGAAGGGGTCTATACGTGGATCATGTTCACTTGCCATTGCCATTCCAGTGCAAAGGCATGTGGGACACATCACCTGCAAAACGTAGAAAAAGAATAGCATAAAATTGAACCCTGTGTACTTGTAATTCAAAATTGTATTTTAGTACTGTTGAAATAGAATATTAAGTTGTAGGGATCTAATAATTTTGTATATGACTGGCTCCTTTCATAAACTTCAATAAGATGCCCAACCTTTCCAGATCCTGAACAGTTCGAACATCTTTCTGTTTTCGGCACTGATAGGGGTTGATCTCCACCATGGACAGTGGAGACAGGTTCTATAAGAACGAGTGACCCTGTACTGGAACACCGAGCACATGCAAGATACCCTGCATTTAGTAGGTCCAACTATAAACATGAATACAACAAGTATCATTGATCTTTCCGCAATTAATTAAATATACACATATCCCACATAAAATATAGAGATGGGCTCATATCTCAGATAATAAATAGATTAAAACAGAGGAAAATAAAAGACAAAAAAGGAAAGGGTTCCAGTTTGTTTTAAGGGATACTAAGAGGATCAAAGAAAACTGCCAACGGAAAGTCCACCACGGTTTAGGTGGGTACAGGTACTCTGATCAAGAATTTTGGAGTATTTTAGGTGTATTAGGAGATCAATACGTAACATCTGCTTTGTTTGTTCTCATTATTTCCTTGGTTGTTTAATATCATCGTCGCACTAATAGAAAGATGCATAAGTGGAGGGAGCTGACAAGTCTCAAGTGCACTCTTAATCAATTTAAAAAGTCCCCTGTTAAACTTCCAAGCAATCTAGCAAAAAAAGAAACGTAGAATTTGACACATTACACATATTCTAGCATAAATAACGAACTTGGGCTGAAGTGTAATGTAAATGATGGTCTGGGAAATAACATAGTGCAAACTAAACCGATTCACAGACTGTATCTGATAGCCCATCCCGCATCTTTTGGCAAAAAAAAAAAAATGCTTCTTGTTGGTCCATAATTGAACAAATTAATACCAATTTCTTAGAAATTTCATCATCCTATAAAATGAGGGAGAAAAACTACGAAAATGGCGGAAAGATTCAGCAATATACCAGTTCCAAGACAGTATTTGCATCTTTTATGTTCCTGCTGTTTCACATTGTTTACTTCAACTACCATCAAGGCTGAAATAACCCCAACTGCTCCACCAGAAAACGAAGCAACTATAGGATCAACCTGACTGCATTTTCCAGCAGTAAAAGCTGGTAAGTAAAGAAATTATAAAAACATCATTTGCAACACAACATTGCATTCTAAAAGTTTGAACTAACAGTCATCATGGATGTATTGGAAGATGTATATTAAAACTCTAAAGTCTAAACTATGATATCTGATGCAACAAATGTTCTTTTAACAAAATCTGTCCAGTACACACCTTGACAAACTGTTCCCCCCACCCATGCAACAATAGAAGTAATGAAAATAAATATCTATAACAAGCCAAAATATGATGCATACCTCAACTGCATTGGGAGATGAACGCTACGGATAAAATCCTCATAAGATGTGCCACCAATCCCCAGCTTCAGCTCCAGCTGAGATAGAAATGGAAAAAAGATTAAAAAAGGTAAAGGAGAGGAAATTCAATTCTCCAAGAAACCTTTCTTGGATGCTAATCACTGGATGCTGAGTAAATTTTGGGCATATCCTCTTTGACTAAAAGTTTGGCTAAATTCAATACTTTTAATAGAGGACTTTAACACATTTAGCATGACATTATTACATCTCTTGGCTTGTTTTCCGAGTTTACTCATCTTGGCTGTGCCATTATGCATCTTTCATGCTACAAGTAATATATACCATGGAATATTTATTATCTTCCTGCACGATTTCTTCTCTCTTAGAAACATTTAATTGCACTCTTGTCAAAAGAAACAGAAAATAATTAAATTTCTAGCATATTTGAGAATCGATTTAAGTGCACTCACACTGAGTGGGAGATAGCGATAGAAAAAGATAGATAGATGTTAAGAAGTAGAGCGAGCCTTGGCTAAACAAAAAAATGTAAAAAATAAAAGTAGAGGATGTGAGAGATATTGAACTGTGATTGCATTGAAATCAGTTTTAATTTATCATAGCTTGATTAGTTCATAGTAGTTAAGTCCATGAATAACTTACAGTGGGTGCTAGAAGGCCACCAAAAATAATTACACCCGCAATGAGAGAAAAACAAGTAGCATAATAGACCTTCAGATTGGCTGAGCTCTGCAAGCATACATTGATTTCATTCATTACTTAACATGTGATGAGAAAGGAAAGAAAATCTACATCTGATACTGTAAGAACCAAAAAACAAAAGAAAAAATAAGGAAATAGTTCCAGTAAACTGTATGAAAAGTATGTTACTGATACATGAAGTCTAAGTAAGAACAATAGAGTAGGAAAAGAGAGCTAACCAAAGGAGGCAAGAATGGGATGAATGATGGAAAGTTAGGAAGTTCACTTTCTTGCTCTTCCTTCATACCAAGTTCAGCATTTTTAATTCTTTGTTGTATCCTCAGCCTGCGAACCTACACATTTATGCACATAGATTATCAATCAAGTGCTTAATTGGTTAAGCTTATCTATTAGCTAAAAGAATTTTTTTAATGTCAAAAGCTCTTTTCAAAAAATATTGTTTTGTTTGGTTGCAACTCAAGAAGAACTTGGATGATTAGATATGTTGTTTAACGTCTATTTGGAGAATTATAAATGGGAACTCAAGAAGTAAAAGGATTTATCTGCACTATCCCATTCTCTTTAACGACTATCAAAGAAGATTTGACCAACTCCACATTGTTCCCATTTCTCTTTAACAACTAGATTAAGGCAACTTTCACATATAAGTTCTACATATAGAATGAAGAACCGATCCCTATATAAAATAACAGATAATAAAAAGTAAAGTTTGAATACCTTTTCATAGTCTTATATCCATAGTAGACCCACTTGACATCATAGCAACTATAATGGAGAGTGGATACCAACATCTGACCATCAGTTTGGTCATCAGAAGTGAACTACCAAATAGCAAGCAAGAATAAAACTAAAGCACGAAAAATGCACCAAGGTTTTTTAAAATTTCACTGTTTTTCTACAAAAGGCCTATTACTGTAGCATTTAAATAAAAGTTAGCCTAGCTGACTCATGTATTCAATCTAGTTTAAGATGTTAAAAGAAAATTTATGTATATCCTGATAATTGATAATTATCCATGATAGTCTACTTCCAATAAGAATGTATTTTAAGCCTATCTCGAATGTAGTAATCATTTCATGCCCACCTCCTCCATGTGCAGGAAAATTTTATTGCGACGACTACGAATATTGTCTTGAATTTCTTGCAGTTCCATTTTTGCAAAGTCCTGCACAGTTTCCGGCCCTTCTATGATACAAAATCTGCATTCAAAATCACAAGATGTTGCACAAAAGCTATTGATCAGATTCTGTTACTGTTACAACTTAGTTAAATCAAAGTTTTTCATATTTCCATTTATATAGATAAATCCCCACCACCTCCCTCCCCCGGGGAAAAGAAAGCACCCGTACATACAAACACAATCTTGGTTATAAATCATGTCCGACAAACAAAAAATTACAGCCCACTCACAACTGTAGTGCAAAGTAATCACAATAGACTGAAAATTTAATTCAGTGTCAATTACCCCATAATGCCAGAACTACACCAAGTTAACAAGTTCTAGTTCGGTTCAAATCGAAGCACTGAATAACAAAAATGAGTGCATCACCACTCTACCACCTATTGCAATCAATTTTATGGATTGTTAATTTAATTTCCTTGCACAAGTATTAACAATAGTCACGAGAATTTTATTCCAAATACCACCCTATATCACACTTCGTGCAAGCACATAAAAAAACAAATAGATCTGTCAGAACCAGAGAAACTCACTTGGGGCTTATTTGGGAAAAGATTCAATTTTTGAACGATGGTTAATGCAATGCAATGCTAACATTTTTTTTTTTTTTATTTTGGTTCAATTCCAAAGATGAAGACAATATTAACCTCACCCTAACACACTTTTAAACTATCCTACATCAATGATCACATGTGGATATGCATAAATTTTGAAGAAGAAGAAATTAAAAGACCTATCTAAATCTATTGATGCAAACCAGGATAGCGCTACTCTAAATTGAATCCACTCAAACTCTACTAATGACTGCTGTGTAATAGAAAATCTTCTACTAATTCCGTCTCGTTTCGAAAAGGTTGGCGAATAATCCTGCACGTCAAGTGAGAGAGGTCCCAATATATCCATACCACTCAATCAACACGAAACTACAACCAACCACGTCACTGAATCGTCAACCTCGTCCAGATACCATCCCAATTAATTCAAAATTTCTTATGCAAAGTAACTTTCTAGAAAAGGTTTAATAAATGATTGCCAGTACTAAATTTTCTCACCAAAAATATCAGAACATGATTACATTCTTAACTAACTTTTACTGAATACATATCGTTTAAGCATATATCCAATCAATAAAATATATAATAAAAATTTAAGAATGATTACGAATTAGAAAACGTAATAGTACCCGCAGCGCTTCTATCAGGGAATCAGCGTCAATTGATGGCGCCAAAGAGAGATTCAGGTTCTGACGCCATACATCGCCAGTTCGACCTTAATCTCCGATTTACATGGATGATCCGAGTCGATATGACCGTGATTGTAGGGGTGGAGTGGCTTCGATGGATAAGAAATCGCCAAAGCTCTGCTCAAGCAAAACATCATCATATTCCTAATTTCTCTCCGTCAGTAGGAACAAGTTTCAGAGGTTCAGAGTTTCTATTAATTAAGATAAAAAATTGATAAGCGTGTTGGACTGTTGAGTCGGCAAGTGAGTAGAGAAGGGAGACAAAAGGAGGCATTTGCAGAGTTGAGTGGGATTCTTCTCTCGTTCATTAAGTTATGGTGGGAAAGGAGTGGTTTGCTACGTGGAAGGAAGACGCTGGTCCATTTTTAAAAAAAATTTTTTTTTTAGTGGAGCTTGTCCTCGTGCTTGTCTAAAATGTCAATGCTCTCTTATGGTTTTGTTTTTTTTATTTATCTCTTTATTATATATATATATATATATATATATATATATAAAAAAATCAAATCACAAATCATGGATCAGATATAAACCCAAATTAACTGATGGTCTGATCGGCATTGCGAGATCATAATATTTTATTTTCTATTACAGTTATTTTTAAATAAAACAATATTTTACAAATAGGTGTAATATTTATTAAATGATTTAAAGATTGATATGTTTGGTCTTTTTTATAATTTATAAATTAATAAATAAATATTTAACACACCCAAAGTTTCCATGGACTGTTATTATGTATTAAACGAGTGATGTAGTACTGATTAGTGATTATTATGTAATAACCATTTTGACCTTTGTTATTACTTCATCATACCATGAGATGTTTAATTTGAAGGTCATGATATGGCTACAATATTTTACATTTACAGTAGCAAGGTTACATGCTTTACAGCTTGAATTATGAGTTTTGATTGTCATCAAAACAACACCAACAACATATTACTATTCGATTTTTTAAGATATTGTATCAAATATAATCAATAAAAACGTTACAAAATTCATCTTACTATAAGATAATTGTCTCAAAATGGTATCAACTCTCATATCACCTTACAATAGTAGATGAACGTATAGATCTAAGTTATAATATATACATATATTAAATCATTAAATTATAATATATTAATAATTATAAATTAGGTTTGTAAAATTAAAGTGAGAGTATTTAAGTTGATATAGTTTAACTTTTACATATATACATAAACGTTGGATTGCTATTTAACCATCCTATTTTTTATTTTGCATATTGAAACACCATGTTATATAAAAAACATTATCCTAAATTCTCAAATTATAATAACTTGTGGTTACTAGCTAAGTCACATACATCAATTGAAAAAAAGTATTTGAATGATTGATTACTGTATAGCTCTTTCAATCTAATTAAACTCTTAAATAAATAAAACACATCTCAAAGATAAAGAAAATAGAAAAAATCTAATGACTTATTTGAAACCGATCATCTTCAAATTAATTTAGTTTTAGGGAAATCAGAGCACTAGATTTGTTAATCTATTTACATATTTGAGCTCAATTTAGTAATGATTTTTTTATACTTTAATTTAATTTAAAATTATAGTTTTAGGGAAAATAATTATAGAATAGGTATCTTTGATGAAATTTGATGCCAGATAAGATTTATATTTAATTCTAAATTGACTATCAAAATTAAACCCGAGTTGTATGGTCGGGTACAAAACCCGGATAACAAATGAACTCGACCCACAAGACAAAAAACCCTAGCTAAAACTCCTATAAATTCACATCACCCCTCTCAAAGGCCGCACTGCTCTCATTCAAACTTCAACTGAGATTTCCTTTCGTTCTGTGTCTATCAAAATTTTTTTTTTTTTCTTTTTTAATCTTATTTTAAGAGTAGATCGCAGTGATGACTCACTAAAATTCAAGCTCAACAGACCGGAATGCAGGCTTCTCTTTTGAGAACTTTGCGTGTCGACAACCCCGCTGAACTGAGCGATCTCTCTTTTTTATTTTGTTCGCCTTTCTATCGCTTTTTGTTTGGTATCACCGCAATTCTTCTAAATCTTTTTTATTTTTATTTTTAAATTTTCTTTTATTTATGGGGTAAGGATTACGATGAGGATTCACAGCTCCCTCTTCTGAAATTTAAAGTTGAAGAGATCTGCTGGCAGAATCGAACCTATGACTTTTAGCCGCCACTGAGTAATCATCTCTTTTCTGCCCCTACTGAGTTATATTCAGCATCTTTTAAAAGTTCCATATAGTTTGGTTTTCATGAAATCTACTTGTAGGTGAGGATGAAGCAGTAATAGTATAATCCAACACTTGATCTGAGATATTCATTATCAAATGAACGCTATTATTACCTTCTGAATCTGCTAAAGTTTTCATTTTCTCTTAAAATATTTTTTATATTGGTCAAATTATCTGCCTTCGTTAGAAGGATTTGTAATCCTGCTTTGACTTAGTGTTTAGTTTATAAATCCTAGTCCACCTTTTGCTACAATTTTATGATATGTGAAATTAGGAAATTTTCAGAAAATGGAAACAATTAACGATCCTAACATGTTGCTTTATCAAAATGTGTTGCGGGAACATCATTTAGCTAATGGATTAGCTAATTCAATGGTTAAGTGAGGATATTATTTTGAAACAGAGAATGCAAGCGTTTGGTGTTTTGAGTGTTGTGAATCTAAATCTGTGTAGGCTTAGTTGTTTAAAGATAGGTAGAATTAGTTAATAGGCGCTTGCAATTGACAGATATTCCAAATAAGTCATGCTTATTAGCTGTGTCTATCTATCTTTTGAGTCTTCAAGTCTACATGAATTTTGTTCATATGTTTGAGTGATGACATGACATTATAGTCCGTTGACCAATATGGTCGCTCAATACTCACATCTCAATAAGAAACATAAAAATGCTTGATACTTTGTAGTTGCATGCTCTTCATCACTTTGAATCAAAACTGTGTTGTCATGTGATGAAATCTGGAAAATCTTAGGACACCTTCCTACACAGCTTTGTATAGCTGTGGATGAGAACAAAATTTCCAGACTGATGATGATGCATGCCATATTACTTTAGAACAAACTATGGTAATTTTTTTTTTTTTGGGTATGTTAATTGATGACCACCCCCGCAACTTGCCACAATTTGAACCCAAGAACTTTTGGTTTTTTTAATTCTTTAATCTACCATTCACTCCATCAGGCCACAAGGGTTAACCATGATATTTAAAATGGTGTTAACTTAGAAATTATAATTAAGAAATTTTCACAATGCAGTCTATAATGCTAGTTTTCCCTTGCTTTGGTTATTATGTTAAAAAGGCTTTTAGTTTTGGGATAAACTGTTTATAATAATTTGCTTACAATTCTTTATGGTACATTTCTGATTTTTATTTGTTATATCAATTCATTTTGTTAAAAGTACCAAAAGTAAAATTTTATGATATGTTGAAAGTAATCAAATTTTGTCTTTCTGTACTTTATAATACAAACTTATACAATACATGTTATCATGTATCTAAAGCAAAATTTTAAGTTCAAAAATTAACAAAATTCTATTTGTTTTAATGTATTTTATCATTGTAATTTTTTTTCATAAAATGCAATTGATATAATAAAATTACTCTTATGTTTTTAAAATCGCGGCATTTTTTTTTCTTTAGGAATTAGGTGTGTAATTACCTTTTGTGGTTTGATGGAGTGAAGGATGAATTGAGGGGTTAAAATACTAAAGGGTCTTGAGTTCAAGTTGTAGCAAGATAAGGGTTAGTCACAATTATCATAATGAGTATTTTTAAAATAAAACAAAAATGTGTGTGTGTATATATATATCCAATTTTTGGGCATTAAGTAAAGTCTTATCATTTATTTATAAATAATGAATATTAATGGAAATATTCTTAGAATATGTTAAGAGAATATTAGTGTTAGGGTTTGTTTATAAAAAGGGTTTTCATCCTTATTTCTTAATAAGTTTATTCTTGTTTTCAAGCTAAAGTTGAAGTTGTAGAGAGAAAATTCTTAAAAAATTTTGTTACCTTTTTCTTCTTTGAATTTTCTTATTTTTTTTCTTCTTAGAGTTTGAAGGTTAAAGAAGAAAAAGACAAGAAAATTTCAAAAAAAATGTAAGAAAATTCAAAGAAGAAAAAGATAAAAAAATTTCCTAAAAAGAAAAATGTAACCCTAAATAAGATTATTTGGGGAATAAATATTTAGGAAAATTTTCTAACTTTTTCTTTGAACCTTAAAAAAACTTTTTAAGAAATTATTCTTTTCCAACTTTAGTTTGGGAGGCAAGAATGAGCTAATTAAGAAGTAAAGGTTAAAACCTCTTTTTATAGACAAACTTTATACTAATATTTTCTTAACACATTTCAAGAATATTCTTATTAATATTTTTTATTTATAAATAAATAATTAGACTTCACTTAGTGTTTAAGAAAAAGTTAGATGAGTATTTAATTATTATTATTATTATTAATACATATATAAATACACACATATATATTCATTATTTAAAATATATACACACATATATATTCATTATTTAAAATATATATACACAAATAATTATATTTAGATAATTATATAATCTTAGAAATTAAATCCAATATAAAATTAGACATGGATGACAACCTTTTAGCAAATTTAATTGATTTGTAAGATTTACCATAATACAATTTGTCTTGAAAAAACAAAATTGCCTTTATCCATTGTCTTCCTTATTGTTTTGTAAGTGTGTGACCCTTAGACTCTTATCATATCGACAGTATTGTGATTAACACTATTAATTGTCTTATTATACACAGATCAAGATTGACTTCTAGCAAGACATTATGGTCATCCGATAGATTCAGATTCAGTAAAATAATTACTTGTCAATGTTATGGTTACTGTGAAATTCAATCACTTCATTGTCTATTATCTCATCAGGGTTTGAAGCACAAAAATAGTGTTAGCTTCAAGTATGAAATTCTTTGACATATTCGTATTCGGTTATCGGACCAACAATCAAACGAAATTAGATTCGAGCAACAATTCTATTCCACTGTGGCCACAGATTTAAGGTCATTGCCTTTTACCGAATATCTCATCGAAATAATTTCTCCTGTTCCTAAGAGTGATGAATCTTTTGTCGACCCATCATAGTCATAGTTAATCACTACTATACTGATAACCCTAAATATGATTACGTTTGGCTAACATCAAACTACACCAATATTTATACACAACACTCTTGTGATCTCAAGTTTAAAGATCACATGCACCACCGTCTGTTAGAGGATGTATTTCATAGACATTGAGGTCATTATCTATATGAAATCCTCTAAATGAGCCAATCTAGCGAACTTGTGAATAACAAGCACCTATGCGTCATACCAAGTTGTCACCAAACAACTTTGACATACGAGATATCCCACTACCATTCAGTAGAGTCGTTCAACGTTATGATAACCTTACTGTATTATATATGCTCTAGGTCAAAATAATACTAGGGCTATGAACGTTTCTAGAATGGTTACCATATGTGCTTATAAAGATCTCACAATTAAGACTTATAACCGCTTGATTCCCTTGTCACGGTTCCACCACTCTAAGGACATATATTATTACATACATATGAAATACGATTTACATAATATAAATAATGTCTTTCATTAATAGAATAACATGATACATAGAGTCATATATAAAAAACCATTGGCTCTAGGGCACTTACTCTAACAATCTTCAATTAATTGCACTATAGTCAATCATTCATGTATTTAATACCAAATGAAGCTAAGTGTTTGTCATGCTTTTGCTGCGGCAGAGCTTTCGTAAGCGGGTCTGCTATGTTATCATTGGTAGGTACTCTTCTTATTTACACATCTCCTCTTTGAACGATTTCTCTGATCAGGTGGAATTGTTTGAGTATGTGTTTGAATATTTGATGAGATCGTGATTCTTTGGCTTAAGCAATGGCCCCATTGTTGTCACAAAATAATTCTATTGGTTCAACGATGCTAGGAAACACACCAACTTCGGTAATGAAGTTCTTGATCCAAACCGCCTCTTTGGCTACATCTGATAATGCAACGTACTCAACCTTTGTTGTAGAATCAGTTACAATACTTTGCTTTGAGCTTTTCCAGCACACTATAGCTCCATTGAGACAAAAGACAAAATTCGATTGAGATTGATAATCATCTTTGTCTGTTTGAAAACTGGCATCACTATATCCTTTTACAGTGAGTTCCTCTATAAACCAAGAACATATCCTTAGTCTTTTTCAAGTACTTAAGACTGTTTTTAACTGTTATTAGTGACGCTCACCTGGATCCAATTGATATCTATTACAAATGTTTAATACATAAGAGACATCAATCCGAGTACATAACATGACATTCATTATAGATCCAATAATGGATGCATAGGAGATCTTGTTCATCTTATCTCTCTCTTCGGGTGTTTTAGGATACATGTCCTTTGAGAGATAAACACTATGTGACATAGGAAGAAATCTTTTCTTTGATTCTTTCATACTGAATCTCTTCAGTACCTTGTCGATTTATGTACTCTAACTTAGGCTTAGCAATCTACATGATCTATCTCGATAAATCTTGATACCAAGGATATAGACTGCTTCTGGTTGGTAGAAATAGTATCTCATAGTTTCCCTAGGATACCCCACAAATATAATTTGTCAGATTTTGGGGCTAGCTTATTTGATATCAATTTCTTGACATGAGCACTACAACCCCAAGTTCTCAAATAAGACAATTTGGGTTTTTGCTCATTCCATAGTTTATATGGAGTCTTATTCACAAACTTGGACGATACACGGTTTAGTGTGTAAATCGCAATCTCTAAGACATAACCCCAGAATGACGCAGGTATATTAGAAAAAATTCATCATTAATCGAACCATGTCAAGTAAAGTTTAATTCCTCCTTTCAGATACACTATTATGCTGAGATGTATATGGAGGTGTGACTTGTGAGTTGTGACACTACACCTTTAGAATGATGCAGGTATATTAGAAAAAAAAACTCATCATTGATCGAACCATGTCAAGTAAAGTTTGATTCCTCATTTCAGATATACCATTATGCTGAGATGTATATGGAGGTGTGAGTTGTGATACTATCCCACTTTCCTAAAGGTATTATCCAAACTCCAAGCTTAAGTATTCACATCCTTGGTCTCATCGAAGAGCTCTAATATTTTTGCCTAGTTTATTATGTACTTCATTTATTTATTCCTTGAACTTGTCAAATGATTCATATTTATGTCTCATTAAATAAACATATCCATAACTATTGAAGTAAGAATATCCTCTTCTTGCTTGAACTATTAATGGTCCACATAGCTCATAAGATTGGAAATCAAATGGGTCCAAAATCTCGTTTTTTTTGGAGTTTTACAATGCGAGTTTGATTAACATGACCTAGCCTACAATGCTAGAGTTATGTTTGGTTCAGATCGCCATGCTTGACTTTCTTATTTTCAAGATTGAGTATTTCTTTATTATCTATATCTAGAACGTATAAATCATTATGTAATGTAGCATTTTCATAATGAATATCATTTAAACTAGAAGACAACAATCAATTAGATATTATAAAACGATATCCATAACTGTCCAAAGCGGATACTGAAATAATATTCTTTGAAATAGAAGGTACATAATAGCAATCCATGAGTTCTAAAATAAGGCTCGAAGGCAACAATAACTGATAAACTCCTACGGCTAATGCAACAACTCTAGCTCCATTCCCAGCACATAGATTTACCTCCCCTTGGCCAAGAGATCTACTCTTTCGCAGTCCTTGCACATTTTACAAATGTGAGATCCATATCCACTGTCAATAACCCAAGATGTAATAGGAGATAGGTTAGTTTCAATCATGAACCTTTAAAAGAAGATCCAATAGTCTCTTTCTTGCTTGCTAGGAAGGCCTTGTAGTGTTTCTTTTAATGGTCAGATTTGCCACAATGAAAGCAAACCGCCTTCCCATCTTTGCTTATGCCACTAGCAAGTTTCAAGGCATCTTGAGGCTTGTACTTAGGCTTGGGTTTGGTCTTAGCCTTTCCTTTGCCTCTTCCAAGGGTAGCGTCAACTAGCAATATTGGCTTTGACTTCTTCATGTCTTGCTTTGCCGTCTTGAGCATACTTAGGAGTTCGGAGAGGGACTTCTCCATTCCATTCATATTGAAGTTCAATATGAACTGTGAGAAGGATTCAGGCAGGGATTGTAGAACAAGGTCCACTGATAGTTCTACATCCATGGCAAAACCTAAAGTTTCAAGCTTTTGTATGTACTATCATCTTGAGTACACGTTGCCCAACTTGGGCTCCCTCAGCCATTCGACATCTAAACAATGCCTTAGACTTATCGTATCAATCGTGCCTAGCACGCTTCTGGAAGAGCTCCTTGAGATGCGTCAGGATAGACTGAGCATCCAAGTGTTCATGTTGCTCTTGCAACTCTGGCGTCATCGATGCTAACATTATACATTGCACGCTATCAGCATCATCGAGATACTTTGCATAAGTATCTCTCTCTTCCTGTGTAGCCTCAGGACCAGACACATCCTAAACAGGCGACGGTACTAACTTCACAGATTGGTACCGAAATCTCCGGATCGTACTAAAATCCAAGAAGAAGCCGTACATAAAAAAAATTGGGTGTGTAATAAATAAGCTCTTATTAATTATTACCTGTTTCTATTAATAGAGCTTTGATAATTTTGGTAACTTAGACCATTTCCAATCTCAAAGACCAAATTAGTGTAACTTTCACACAAAATTGGTGCAATTTTCAAACCAAATTGGTGTAACTTTCAAATCAGATTGGTGCAATTTTCACACCATTTTATTATTGCATCTCCAATTCGTTCCACAAATTAGTGTAGATGAATAGTGGGACTAAAATACCAAATAATTTTTCCACTTTTCAATGTAGTCTTTTTTTTTTTTTTCTTTTTCAAAATAAACCTTACATTTTAGTCCTTAAATTAAATTTTATCACATTTATATTCTTATTTTTGTTATAAGTTTTTTTTTTTAATTTGTATTTATGTTAATTTGATTATTATTTATATTTATAATAATTGGTGTGGATGAATAGTGTTACACCAATTTTATTATGATTTTTAAAGTTAGGTTGGAGCAACATTTGGATACCATTTTACTGTTTTATACAAATTTAGTGTCCCATTGGAGATGATTTTATGAAATTGTAGAATTCAATTATTTCACTGCATGTTTACTTGTGGGAGGATAATCAAAGCTTTGGATGATTGAATATGGAAAAAATTTGTATAATGTTATTTGGTAAAAGAATTATATTTGAATGGTAGGCCTTGTTACCTAGGAATACTTAAAGTTAGAATTTAAGGATTTTGTGTTAGTATATACAGTTTTTTATTAAGAATTCAATAGCTTTGTAGGAACTTAATGTTTATTTCTCTATAATGTTTGTACGTAAAAATTTGTTTATATGAAAATTTCAATTTATGGGAAGAGAGAAATGTATATGTAGTAGGTTTCTTTTATTGGTGTTGCATGGAAGAGGGACCTTAGTTTACACTCTGCTGGTTCAATTCCTTGATTTTGCCTGTTTTCATGTTCCAATTTATGCTCTTTTTGTATCATATGCTTAATGTCTATATCATTAAATTCTTATAATAGATAAACCAAGCGAGCTGGTTCAGAAACAACTCTACAAACAGAACTAACTGGGACTAAATTCTAGCGTCATTTATGGGTTCAAGTAAACTTTGTAGTTTTTTCACAAAAGTGAACTCCGTAGAACTTAACCACACATTTGTGATTGTTGTGTGCAATTATGATCCTAATTTGATTGCATAGGAATTCTGTTAAGAATTCCCCTATTTATCTCTTATATTTGCCTTTTTTTATTTAAAAAACATATAGAGATGACGAATCCGAGTATGTGTCTGGACTTCTGGTGAGACTATGGTTCCTTTGCTTAAGCAATTGCTCCATTGTTGTCACAATAGACATCTATCATATCAACAATCGTGGAAACCACACCAAGTTCGGTGACAAACTTCTCAATCCAAATTGTCTCCTTGGCTGCATCGGATAATGCAATATACTCAACCTCTATTGTAGATTTCGCTATAATGCTTTGCTCGGAGCTCTTCCAGCTCACTGCACCCCCATTGAGACAAAATACAAACCTTGATTGCGATCAATAACCATCTTTATCCGTTTGGAAACTAGCATCACTGTATCTTTTATAGTGAGCTCATCTTTCCCTCTATAAACCAAGAACATGTCCTTAGTCCTCTTCAGGTACTTAAGGATGTTCTTGACAGCTATCCAATGACGCTCACCTAGATCCGATTGATATCTACTACAAGTGCTTAACGCACATGAGGCATCAATCCGAGTATATAACATGTCATACATGATGGATCCAATTGCTGACGCATATGAGATCCTCTTCATTCTATCTCTCTCATCGTGTGTTTTAGGACATATATCCCTAGAGAGATAGACACCATGTGACATCGGAAGAAATCCCTTCTTGAATTCTTCCATACTAATTGCATAAGAATTCTGTTTAATTGGCCTGTTTACTCTTATATCTCTACATTTGTGATTGTTGTGTGCAAATGCTTGGATTCTCCTCTTCTATACGCAATTTCACCATGGAATTTATGAAGCCATAATGCATGGAGATGACGAAGAAACAACAATAGAGATAACGGAAAATTGTAGAGAACAAGTGATACAAAAAAAACCACTACTGAATTGTATCAAGATTTAGATAATGGATAAATGATACGATAATCACCATTGAATTGTATCAAGATTCGAATACTAGATTAATTGAAATAACTACAAAAGGTTCTCAATAATTTATTAAAATAATAATTCACAAAAAACTATTGTCTTAAAGGCTACAATGACCTCTATTTATACTATAATTAACCTTAACTAGTTTGAAAAACAATAAACCTAATAATCAAAACAAATTTTACTCGAATATGCAAAACTTCTAAAACAAGAAATCTAATTTAATTAGAACTACTAAAATAAAATAAGAATTTAGGAATAAAAAAGTCTAAAAATAATTTTTTTAAAATTTTAATAATATATTTTCGGCATCATCAGTTCTCATGAAATAACATTAAAAATTTTTTTTGGTTATTGGTGGCGGCGATAGGAATCGATCTGGCAATGTGGAGCTCTTCACATGTTGTCGTACGTGCTCACAGTTTCTGGTAGTTAAATGATTCTATTCTATCTCCAACGATTTTACATCGTCTCATCAAATAATAAAGACAATTAAGCTATATTCGGTAGTTGAAAAATCCTTTTTATCTTCAGATTTGATTGTAATGTGAGCAAATACTAATTACTAAGCGTGGCAACTGACGACTGATGTTATTAGATATAAAGACCTCGTCTCGTCTCCAAACCTATTAAAAATATATTTAGAAATGTTAACGTCACTCATTTATTTAAGCTCCTTGAACCAGCTCCAGCGTGCAACATTTAAACCATGGCTGACATGCAAGATGCAACACTTTTCCTTATCTGCATAGCTTCCATTATCTTCTTCCTAACGATCTGGGGCAAGACTCAGACCCAGGCCCAGCTTCCACCAAGCCCACGAGGGTTACCAATCATTGGCCATCTCCACATGCTTGGTCCTGTAACCCACCAAGCACTTCATAAGCTATCAACCCGCTATGGTCCCTTGGTTTATTTCTTCATTGGTTCAAAACCTTGTGTTCTTGCTTCTTCCCCAGAAATGGCCAAAGAAATTCTCAAAACCAACGAAACTAAGTTCCTGAACCGCCCTAAAACGGCCAATCTCGATTACCTCACCTATGGTTCATCTGATTTTGCCACAGTGCATTATGGACCTTACTGGAAGTTCATGAAGAAACTTTGCATGAATCAACTTCTTGGTGGAAGAAGGCTAGACCAACTTCGTCCCATTAGACAGGAAGAAACAAGGCGATTTCTAATGTTAATGCTGAAGAAAGCTGAGGCAAGTGAGAGGGTAAATTTTGGAGGAGAGCTAATGAGGTTGACAAATAACATAATAACAAGAATGACACTGGGGCAAAGGTGTTCTGATAAAGAAGATGAAGCTGGTGAGGTGAGAAAATTGGTGCAAGCGTTGACTCAGTTGGGAGCTAAGTTTAATCTGTCAGATACAATTTGGTTTTGTAAGAAGTTGGATTTGCAAGGGTTTAGAAGAAAGCTAGAGGATGCTCGGAAGAGGTATGATGTTATGATGGAGAGGATCATGAAGGAGCATGAAGAGTCGAGGAAGAAGAGGAAGCAAATGGGCGATGAGGGTGATTCCGAAAGGGATTTACTTGATGTTTTATTCCATATATTCGAAGACAAAAACGCAGAGATGAGATTGACCAGAGCAAATATAAAAGCCTTCATTATGGTAACTACTATCTAGACACACTAAAATATGCAATTTTGTTTTTTCGGCCATATCATTTCATGATTTTATCTTAGGATAAACATATTACAACTTTCATTGGTTTACAATTCTCTCTATCTTTCATAGTTAGTCATGTATACGTTTCTTCCCTGATGATTATTGAAACATATTTGTCTTTTCCGTATAGTATCTGAAACTGAAAATGACATTGGTTCACAACCATTTTGGGACAGGGAAAGCTAACAACCAGAGCAAGTTTTAAATATCAATAAAGAAATAAGAATGACGACACCGATAATAATAGTTTTATATCAATCATATAACATTATTGGTTATTATAGTTAAGGAGAAATTGTCAAATTAATGGACTGATGATGATTTTAAAACTATTATACTTTTGGATCTTGACAGAATATATTTGGGGCTGGAACGGACACATCTTCCATCACGTTAGAATGGGGACTGGCAGAGCTAATCAACCATCCGAATGTGATGGAAAAAGCAAGAAAAGAGATTGATTCTGTAGTTGGAAAAAACAGAATAGTAGAAGAATCAGATATTGCAAATCTTCCTTATCTGCAAGCCATTGTGAAGGAAATACTAAGACTTCACCCTACTGGCCCTTTAGTTGTAAGAGAATCATCTGAAGATTGCATTATTGCTGGTTACATGATTCCAGCAAAGACTAGGCTCTTTGTGAACTTGTGGTCTCTTGGAAGGGACTCCAGCCATTGGGAAAACCCTCATGAGTTCAGGCCTGAGAGGTTTCTTAGTGAAAAGTGGTGTCGAAACAACCAGTTTTTGGATGTAAGGGGGCAGAATTTTCCGATGATACCATTTGGAAGTGGTAGAAGAAGCTGCCCTGGAGCTACACTAGCATTACACTTTGTTCCAACAACCATTGCTGCTATAATTCAGTGTTTCGAATTGAAAGTTGGTTATGGAGAGAATGATATTGTTGACATGGAAGAGGGTCCTGGGCTAACACTTCGCAGGGCTCATTCCCTTGTTTGCACCCCTGTGGCTAGGCTCACTCCATTTCCATCAATTTGATCATCACAATGTTTTATGAATGATGCTATTTATATATCATATGTTCAATTTCTCTGTCATCAAAATCTAATTAATATAAATAAACCAAGCCAGCTGGTTCAGAAACAAACTCTACAAACCCTTATAACCAAAGAGAACTAACCCGGACTTAATTTCTTTCCTTCTCAGATCAGCAACTTTTTCGAAACATATAATTCTAGTGTCATTTACAGGTTCTAGTACAATTTGCAATTTTGATAGAGAACCGATGCTTTAGTGACAAATTTACATAAATCTATTATCTATCCCTTTTGCGAATTGGTAACAATTTGATTGCATGAAAGCTGGCTAATAGGTGATGAGCATGTTTAACACCAAGGGATTAGTTTGACTGTCAAAGAAATTTGTTTAATTCTTTGAGTTTTTAGATTTAAACATTGAGGTTACTTACTATAATAATACTATGGTTTACTTTGTCTTTTGAATTTATAAGGTGTTTAATGGACCTTAGAGATTACTTTGTTTAATAGACCTTAAGAATTAATAAAAATACATATAAACTAGTCGGGACAATCGGATTACAGCACTTTTGGTTTTCACGACTTACGACAAAGAGGTACAAAGGGAAATAAATAACTCTATTTGAAACCCACATGACCCACCAGGAGAAAAAATATTGAATTACTTTCGTAATTCTTATTGCTGTTCTAAATCACCAAATGAAATAAGATAATGTTTCCGTGGTTAATTTGTTACGTCTAAGAAGCCTAGCATCAAATATCTATTTCCTTCTTTCCCGGATTCGCAAACGCATAAATCTAACACAAGGCCAAGTACTTAGAATGGCACAGTTAATTACAGTGCATATTCCAACCATCGACTAAGCCCTTCTACAGATAAACATTACATTACATACCAAGCATCAACTAAACCTTCTAGAAATTAACTTAGCAAGGACCACAATATTAATTAATTGTTGCATTTAAAAAATTAAACTTGGAAGACGATGTAAGAGCGGAATCTACATCCACATGATATATATTTGATGAAAAGCATTGCAACCAATGTAAACACAGGCGTCTTCAATCTAAACCCTAAAGCATTGAAGAAAACTATGAGAATAATATTTGATTATTTCGGAGCAGATAAAACTCCTTTATCATGTTATATTGAGGACCACTGATCGATGACAAGTGCTGGCTCACTCTTGGCATTTCCGGCTGAAATAACTAAACAACCTTAAGGACCACCTTAACCAGGAGGACCACCACCAAATAATTTGTATGATGCATCAAACTTTTGGTTATCAACACAAGTTCCATTACTTTCATCAAAGTTTAAGTCAATTCTTGCGTTCTACGTCGCTGATATTGACAATAATTTCATTATAATACATCCTATGATTTTGATATATCTCTAATCATACAATTTTTAAATAACAAAGTTGATGTTAATTGAAGAAATAATTTGCATAGAAAAATTATATGCATCTTAAACCTGTCCCTATACAATATAATGGTGATTCTATTGGTCAGCTATCAATTATCAAAATGACAGATTAAAGCAAGAAAGGCCAGTTTTCGGCATCATCAGTTCTCATGAAATAACATTAAAAATTTTTTTTGGTTATTGGTGGCGGCGATAGGAATCGATCTGGCAATGTTCGAGCCATTGGAGCTCTTCACATGTTGTCGTACGTGCTCACAGTTTCTGGTAGATAAATGATTCTATTCTATCTCCAACGATTTTACATTGTGTCATCAAATAATAAAGACAATTAAGCTATATTCGGTAGTTGAAAAATCCTTTTTATCTTCAGAGTTTATTGTAATGTGAGCAAATACTAATTACGAAGCGTGGCAACTGACGACTGATGTTATTAGATATAAAGACCTCGTCTCGTCTCCAATCCTATTAAAAATATATTTAGAAATGTTAACGTCACTCATTTATTTAAGCTCCTTGAACCAGCTCCAGCGTGCAACATTTAAACCATGGCTGACATGCAAGATGCAACACTTTTCCTTATCTGCATAGCTTCCATTATCTTCTTCCTAACGATCTGGGGCAAGACTCAGACCCAGGCCCAGCTTCCACCAAGCCCACGAGGGTTACCAATCATTGGCCATCTCCACATGCTTGGTCCTGTAACCCACCAAGCACTTCATAAGCTATCAACCCGCTATGGTCCCTTGGTTTATTTCTTCATTGGTTCAAAACCTTGTGTTCTTGCTTCTTCCCCAGAAATGGCCAAAGAAATTCTCAAAACCAACGAAACTAAGTTCCTGAACCGCCCTAAAACGGCCAATCTCGATTACCTCACCTATGGTTCATCTGATTTTGCCACAGTGCATTATGGACCTTACTGGAAGTTCATGAAGAAACTTTGCATGAATCAACTTCTTGGTGGAAGAAGGCTAGACCAACTTCGTCCCATTAGACAGGAAGAAACAAGGCGATTTCTAATGTTAATGCTGAAGAAAGCTGAGGCAAGTGAGAGGGTAAATTTTGGAGGAGAGCTAATGAGGTTGACAAATAACATAATAACAAGAATGACACTGGGGCAAAGGTGTTCTGATAAAGAAGATGAAGCTGGTGAGGTGAGAAAATTGGTGCAAGCGTTGACTCAGTTGGGAGCTAAGTTTAATCTGTCAGATACAATTTGGTTTTGTAAGAAGTTGGATTTGCAAGGGTTTAGAAGAAAGCTAGAGGATGCTCGGAAGAGGTATGATGTTATGATGGAGAGGATCATGAAGGAGCATGAAGAGTCGAGGAAGAAGAGGAAGCAAATGGGCGATGAGGGTGATTCCGAAAGGGATTTACTTGATGTTTTATTCCATATATTCGAAGACAAAAACGCAGAGATGAGATTGACCAGAGCAAATATAAAAGCCTTCATTATGGTAACTACTATCTAGACACACTAAAATATGCAATTTTGTTTTTTCGGCCATATCATTTCATGATTTTATCTTAGGATAAACATATTACAACTTTCATTGGTTTACAATTCTCTCTATCTTTCATAGTTAGTCATGTATACGTTTCTTCCCTGATGATTATTGAAACATATTTGTCTTTTCCGTATAGTATCTGAAACTGAAAATGACATTGGTTCACAACCATTTTGGGACAGGGAAAGCTAACAACCAGAGCAAGTTTTAAATATCAATAAAGAAATAAGAATGACGACACCGATAATAATAGTTTTATATCAATCATATAACATTATTGGTTATTATAGTTAAGGAGAAATTGTCAAATTAATGGACTGATGATGATTTTAAAACTATTATACTTTTGGATCTTGACAGAATATATTTGGGGCTGGAACGGACACATCTTCCATCACGTTAGAATGGGGACTGGCAGAGCTAATCAACCATCCGAATGTGATGGAAAAAGCAAGAAAAGAGATTGATTCTGTAGTTGGAAAAAACAGAATAGTAGAAGAATCAGATATTGCAAATCTTCCTTATCTGCAAGCCATTGTGAAGGAAATACTAAGACTTCACCCTACTGGCCCTTTAGTTGTAAGAGAATCATCTGAAGATTGCATTATTGCTGGTTACATGATTCCAGCAAAGACTAGGCTCTTTGTGAACTTGTGGTCTCTTGGAAGGGACTCCAGCCATTGGGAAAACCCTCATGAGTTCAGGCCTGAGAGGTTTCTTAGTGAAAAGTGGTGTCGAAACAACCAGTTTTTGGATGTAAGGGGGCAGAATTTTCCGATGATACCATTTGGAAGTGGTAGAAGAAGCTGCCCTGGAGCTACACTAGCATTACACTTTGTTCCAACAACCATTGCTGCTATAATTCAGTGTTTCGAATTGAAAGTTGGTTATGGAGAGAATGATATTGTTGACATGGAAGAGGGTCCTGGGCTAACACTTCGCAGGGCTCATTCCCTTGTTTGCACCCCTGTGGCTAGGCTCACTCCATTTCCATCAATTTGATCATCACAATGTTTTATGAATGATGCTATTTATATATCATATGTTCAATTTATCTGTCATCAAAATCTAATTAATATAAATAAACCAAGCCAGCTGGTTCAGAAACAAACTCTACAAACCCGTATAACCAAAGAGAACTAACCCGGACTTAATTTCTTTCCTTCTCAGATCAGCAACTTTTTCGAAACATATAATTCTAGTGTCATTTACAGGTTCTAGTACAATTTGCAATTTTGATATAGAACCGATGCTTTAGTGACAAATTTACATAAATCTATTATCTATCCCTTTGCGAATTGGTAACAATTTGATTGCATGAAAGCTCGCTAAGATGTGATGAGCATGTTTAACTCCAAGGATTAGTCTGACGGTCAAAGAAATTTGCTTAATTTTTTGAGTTTTTAGATTTAAACATTAAGGTTACTTACCATAATAACATTATAATTTATTTGATATTTTAAACTTATAGGATGTTTAATGGACCTCAGAGATTACTTTGTTTAATAGACCTCAAGAATTAATAGAGGTGCGTGTAAACCAACCCGAACACTCCGGTTACTCAAAAAAAAAAAAAAAAAAAAAAAAAAAAGAGGTGATGAGCACTTTCGGTTCTCACAGGTTATGACAAAAAGGTACAAAGGGAAATAAATAACTCTATCTGAAACCCACATGACCCACCAGGAGAAAAAATATTGAATTACTTTTGTAATTCTTATTGCTGTTCTAAATCACCAAATGAAATAAGATAATGTTTCCGTGGTTAATTTGTTACGTCTAAGAAGCGTAGCATCAGATATCTATTTCCTTCTTTCCCGGATTCGCAAACAAATAAATCTAACACAAGGCCAAGTACTTAGAATGGCACAGTTAATTACAGTGCATATTCCAACCATCGACTAAGCCCTTCTACAGATAAACATTACATTACATACGAAGCATCAACTAAACCTTCTAGAAATTAACTTAGCAAGGACCACGATATTAATTAATTGTTGCATTTAAAAAATTAAACTTGGAAGACGATGTAAGAGCGGAATCTACATCCACATGATATATATTTGATGAAAAGCATTGCAACCAATGTAAACACAG